GCTGCTCTGCCCCCTACACTTCATTAAAATTCTATCACATGCGTAATTATCTTTTTTTTTTCTTTCTTGTTTTTGCCTCGTACTCTTTCCCTTGTTTTTCTTTCTTTCTTTCAAGAATGTCTCACGCTTTGTAAGTCAGTTTTGTTATAGTTTGCGATCATGTCATTCGAGTCTGCAGATGGTTACCTCTTAACAGCCCGTATTTCGTCCCTAAAATAACCAGTAAAAAGGGACCAGTATAAAGTTTTCTTCTCCAAAATAATCAGGAAAAAAAGAGAGAAAATGAGTAACGAAAAAACACATTTCTTATCCAAAATGATCAGTAAAAAAGTGGGGAAAATAAGGGACGAAAACCCACATTTCCTCTCCAAAATAAAAAAAGCAAATAAAGTAGAGAAAATATGGAAACGAAAGCCTACATTTCCTCTCCAAAATAAAAAAGCAAAAAAAGAGAGAAAATAGGGGACGAAAGCCTACATTTCCTCTCCAAAATAATCCGCAAATAAAGGGGGGGAGGGGGGAAATGGAATCGAAAGCCCACATTTCCTCTCCAAAATAAACAGCAAATAAGGGGGGGGGGGGGAAGGAAATGGAATCGAAAGCCTACATTTCCTTTCCAAACTAATCAGCAAATAAAGGGGGGGGGGGGGGGGGGAATGGAAACGAAAGCCCACATTTCCTCTCCAAAATAATCAGCAAATAAAGGGGGGGGAGGGAGGAAATGGAATCGAAAGCCCACATTTCCCCGCAAAATGAAAGGTTTCCCCTCCGAAAGCCCACACTTTTCCCCGAGAGCTGCCCCATTCCCCCTCTAAAAGCCCGAGCTTATTCCCACTTTGCTATCAATTACAACGGCGCTATCGAGCTCCCGCTGGATCCCTCGCCAATAGCACGCTTCTTTTTCTTTCTTTCTCTCTTTCTTCCTCTCGTTCTCTCTCTTTTTCTTTCGTTTTCTGTCTTTTCCTTTCTCTATTTTTTTTTTCTTTTCTTTATGGAAACGAAAGCCTACATTTCCTCTCCAAAATAAAAAAGCAAAAAAAGAGAGAAAATAGGGGACGAAAGCCTACATTTCCTCTCCAAAATAATCCGCAAATAAGGGGGGGGGGGGAAGGAAATGGAATCGAAAGCATACATTTCCTTTCCAAACTAATCAGCAAATAAAGGGGGGGGGGGGAGGGGATCGAAACGAAAGCCCACATTTCCTCTCCAAAATAATCAGCATTTCCCCGCAAAATGAAGGGTTTCCCCTCCGAAAGCCCACACTTTTCCCGAGAGCTGCCCCATTCCCCCTCTAAAAGCCCGAGCTTATTCCCACTTTGCTATCAATTACAACGGCGGTATCGAGCTCCTGCTGGATCCCTCGCCAATAGCACGCTTCTTTTTCTTTCTCTCTCTCTTTCTTCCTCTCGTTCTCTCTCTTTTTCTTTCGTTTTCTGTTTTTTCCTTTCTCTATTTTTTTTCTTTCTTTTTTTCTTCCTGTTTTCCTTTTTTTTCCTTTTCTTTTTCTCTCTATCTTTTCCTTTCTTTGTTTCTTTCTCTCTTTCTTTCTTTCTCTATTACTTCCTCTTCTTCTTTCTTTCTCTCTCTTTCCCTTTCTTTCTTTCTTTCTTGCCTTCTTCCTTTATCTCTTTCTTCCTTTTTTCTTTCTTTCTTTCTTTCTTCTTTTCTTCCTTCTGTTTCAGTGTTTCTAAACGGTTTTTTTCTCATTTTTTTCTCCGATTTCTTTATCTTTTTCATTACTTATCTTTCTCCTCTTTTTTTTTTTTTTTTTTTTTTTTATGTGTCAATCTTCTTTTCCAATTTCCTACTGTCGTTTCTCGTTTTTCTAGTGACTTTTTATTCTCTTTTCCTTTGTCAATCTGCATTTTCTCTCTTACTCTTTGCATATCTGTCTCTCTGTCTGTTTGTCTGTCTGTCTATTAACGTTTATATATATATATATATATATATATATATATATATATATATATATATATATATATATATATATATATATATTTATTTATTTATTTATTTGTATATAAATATATATTATATATATATTTATATATTATATATATAGTTATATATTATATATATTTATATAGATAGATAGATAGACAGATATAGATATAGATATCTGCCTCCTTTCTCCTTTTCCTCTTCCCTTCTATTTCCTTCTTTGTCCCTCTCCTTCTCCCTCCTCCCATGCCTCTCCCCCTTCCTCTCCTCCCCCTTTTCCCTCTCCCTCTTCCCCTTTCTTTCTCTCTTCCCTCCCTCTCCGTCTCCGTCTCCCTTTTCCTCCTACTTCATCTTCCTTTGTCCTTTCCTCTCCTGTTCCCTCCTTCCTTTCATCTCCCTCTCCATCTCCTCCTCCTTATCCCTTTCTTTTTTCTTCTCCCTCTCCCTTTTCCCCTTCCTCTCCCCCTCTCTTACCCTCTCTCTTTCCCTTTCCCTCTCCTTCCCCACTCCCTCTCTTCCTTTCCCTTCCTCTCCTTCTCACTTTCCTTCTCCGTATCGTCCTCCTCTCTCCCTCTTCCGCTTCTCTCTCCCTCTTCCCTATCCCTCTCATTTCTGTCTCTCTCTCTCTCTCTCTCTCTCTCTCTCTCTCTCTCTCTCTCTCTCTCTCTCTCTCTCTCTCTCTCTCTCTCTCTCTCTCTCTCTCTCTCTCTCTTTCTCTTTCTCTCTCTCTCTTTCTCTCTCGTTCTCTCTCTCTCTCTCTCTCTCTCTCTCTCTCTCTCTCACTCTCTCTCTCTCACTCTCTCTCTCTCCCTCTCTCTCTCTCCCTCTCTCTCTCTCCCTCTCTCTCTCTTCCTCTCTCTCTCTCTCTCTCCGTTTGTTCATAATCAATACATGACGAGATACAGGGCTGGGTGATAAACAATGAACTCGAAACCAATATAAACCGCGCTCGCTATTATATGCAGGAACTGAGTCATGATAATAATAATAAGGACATGGACCATGAGATTGAATTAAAGGTATGTATACAGTACATAAGGTGAACAATAACTTTGTACATCTATATATTGCATGTCTTCTTCGGTAGGTTTGGTAGCTACCGAAATTATTTACTGGTGTGATAACTAAATGTTTATATACTACATACATAAATCCATACATACATAAATAAATAAATGAATATATATATATATATATATATATATATATATATATATATATATATATATACATATATATATATATATATATATATATATATATATATATATATATATATATATATATATATATATATATACATATATATACACATAAGTAGACAAATATATGTGTGTGTGTATGTGTCTATATATATATATATATATATATATATATATATATATATATATATATATATATATATATATATATATATATACATATATATATATATATATATATATATATATATATATATATATATATATATATATATATATATATATATATATATATATGCGTGTGTGTGTGTGTGTGTGTGTGTGTGTGTGTGTGTGTGTGTGTGTGTTTGTGTGTGTGTGTGTGTGTGTGTGTATAAATAGATAGATAGATAGATAGATAAATAGATAGATAGATAGATAGGTAGATAGGTAGATAAATATATATATACGTATATATATATGACACAAACACAGTAACGTGAACACACAAATGAAAGGAAAACTGCCACAGTGGATGACTTTTCCACTTTTGGTTTTTCAGTTGTCTGAAGAGGAACTCGTGAAGAGTTCGAAACGTTACATTTCAATTTCGTTTCTCACTGTGGCAGTTTTCCTTTCGTATATATGTATATATGTATATATATATATATATATATATATATATATATATATATATATATATATATATATATATATATATATCGAATGGAGAAGTACAAAGAACCTTTGTCTAGAATGTTTCCCTTCGGTGTATTGCATTATACTCTACTAAACTACTCAATTTCTCGGTTTATTTCCGAAAAGGTACCGCGTGAGGTATAGTTTTCGCAGTAAATGATACCATTACTGTCTCTCCTATCTACTTTACCTTTGTTTTATTTTCAACCACGACACTTTAAAGTACCGTCTGTATGTATGACTTGAGATTTCCTGGTGGGGGCTGAGGTGTGACATTTTTCTTAGGTAATTATGCACAAGATTAGATCATTTTTTACTCTACTTCGGAATACAGTTGCCTGATCTAATAGAACATTAGGGTGTAATAAAGCAAATTTTTGAATTTCCGTTGTTCATATATGTTTGCATTCTTGGACCATCTCATCGTTTACGACCCTGACAGCATTTGCAATTTCTTTAGTCCACTTCCTCGTCCTTTGCAACCGTCTGTAATCATTACCAAGGCCACATAACGCAAGGTGCTCCACTGTGTCTCTTAAAAGGAGAAAAAGTATAGAATATTTTGGAAATATCTGGACAGAATATAACATTTCTCCTTAACCAAGATGCTGAAAACATGGTATGAACATTTTCAAAACGTTTAGAAAAAAAAATGTAAAATTTGCCTTTTCGCCAAGACGCCTACTCTTGAGACGTCTACGATTTAGCATTTAAAGCGATGGCTCTCGTGTGGCCTTTTCTATATGCAAAGGGGGCGAAATGACTCTCTTTTCATGAGAGCATTTACGAATACTAACGCTGTTAACGAACTGACAATTTAGTTCGTTATAGCCGAGGCTTATCCTTCAGATGCAGTGGCTGTGCGTGTGTGTGGTGCGAAGTGTGGCTCTCCCCGCTATCATTCTGGTGGTCTGCGTTCCTCACGCTGTGGGTAAGTGTGTTATATTTGTGATAATATTAAGCTCTCTGAGATAAATGATTTTGTAGGTGCATGGAAGGGGAGGGCGGGGAAAAAATAATGAAATCATTAATATACTGCCTCATTCACGTTAGACACACCTGTTCGTCATAAACGATAAACATGCGAAGTATTCACATAAACACAGAAGCGACAAAATAAAACGGACAAGCAAACAAACATAATAGACAATCACTTACATACATACACGCGCACATACA